ATACAATTCGTTTTCTTCCATTTGAAAACTATCAAACACTGGGGTTGCAATACTTTCAATTCTGCAGGGTATTACATAGGGCTTACATGTTATTTCTTTGTTGGGGGGCAGAGGAGGACTGGTTATCTGCCACGAAAACCAGAGAGGTGCTTTTCCAGAGTTTCCTGTTGTTTGTTAGGTGGTTCTGTTTCCCCTAACTTAGCAGATGTCAATGTTTTGACCTTGAAACAACTGACTATGAATTACCCTATTTTATGAAATGTCAAGTAATTATTGCCTTTTAGAAGTGAGCTTAAAAAATAAGGAGTGCACTTGAATAATAACCCTTTTGGTTCATTTTTCTTTACCTCCAATAGAGCATCTTTAAAAACAACAACAACTTTTTATTATATTATAGAAATTTTCAAACACGCAAAAGTAGAATAGTAGAATGATTCCTCCCAGACTGGTCTCCCAACTTCAACAGTTCTTACACGGCCAATTTCGTTTTATCTACACCTCATCCCCAGGATTAGTCCCAGTAAAGTACAGTTGACTCTTGGGGGTTAGGGGCATCACCATACCCCGCCTCATGCTGTCAAAAATCCAAGTATAACTTTCAACTCCCGAAAATCTTAACTACATATCTTGATGGCCAGGGCTTAGTGGTTATAAGTAACTTGGTTCTTCGATAAGTCTGAGTTCCAAAGAGATGATTTGTACCAACAGCTCTACTTTGAAAAGCTGTTTCGATGCATGATTGAGAAAGCCCACTTTAATAAAGGTCAAGGTGGTTTTAATCCTACTAGCAAAAAATAATTCATGCTCTCGTTGAACTCCAGAGTTTCCTCCCTGAAACAGCCTTTGGCAAATGGAGATGAGGGAAAGTGATAGGACTGGGTCATCTTCAGCTGGGGTACTTCTAAGAAGTCTCTGGCCGGCTCAAGAGAACATTTCTTATTCTCACCCTAGGGGAAGAGGGACCGTTTATGTAATTTACGGATCTTTAAGGCAATGAAATCGTGCAGGCTTCACTATAACCCAGCAATGCCAGACTTGGGATTGGAACAATTATTCAATTTTCTGTAACAAGAACAGCCATCAGAAGAAAAGCCTTCTCCAGGAATAGCTTTCTAAATGAAACCCTGTCCACATGAAGTCCAGAGCTGTCACATTTGCCCCTGTTTATCAAAAGAGAAAGTTCCCAAAAAGGGCTTTAGCCAACTTGAATAGACGTTTAAAGATGTGGAAGGAATAATTAGTCGTACGTATTTATCTTATTAATTGTATGTAAGTATTTAAAATCATATATATATATTTATTTATGTATGTATTTATTTATTTATTTTGTACTTTAATTTAGAAACATTGCCCTCTTCTCATATTTCAGGAAACAATTTTATTCCTGGTCTTTCATGGATTTGACTTCAGTGTTTCTGATATCACCAGTCACTTTTTGATTCACTGGGTTTTCTACAGAATAGAATATCATCTTTGGTTCCCGCTAGGTTGATTGAGATACAGTACGTTTGTCACCAAAAATTTCATGCTGATAACCAGAAATCTCAGGCAAAGCCACAGATTTGTTTCCTATATCCACTGGACAGTTGTTCTCATAATTAATCCTGTAGGTGTACATACAGGAGCCCACAGCCTATCCATTTTACTGCTTTCTAACATGACTGAAAAGGCTGCTGTATGAAAGAGGCATTATATGTCTCCTTTTTCAAACCAGACCAGCATTGGCTGAAGTTGTTTCACACTTGGATATCATCCCCAAACAGTAGTTTATTGTTCCAAATAAAGCAGCCTAGAGAGTACTCTGCCACTTAATTAAGAGCTTTTTTGGGGGGGGGGCGCATGTGTGTGTGGGGGGCTGGGTCTCTCATCCTGCATTCAAACTGGTAGCTGACTCAAGAGGATGATTACTTAACTTCTGTAACTTGCCCGCTCCCTCGAGGCCACCTAAATGCAGACCTGTGCGTGAACGCGTTTCAAACGCCAGCCCTCCCGCCTGTCTCTGTCTCCGCAGATCAGGTCTCACCCGCAGTTTGGCGACCTCTGCCAGCGGGCCACCGCCGCCTCCTGCTGCCCCAGCTGGACGCTGGGGAACTACATCGCCATCCTGAACAACCGATCGTCCTGCCAGAAGATCGTCGAGCGGGACGTCTCGCACACCCTGAAGCTGCTCCGGACCTGCGCCAAGCACTACCACAACGGCACGCTGGAGCCCGACTGCTGGGACGCGGCGGCCCGCAGGAAGGACCAGCTCAAGTGCACCAGCGTGCCGCGGAAGTGCACCAAGTACAACGCCGTGTACCAGATCCTGCACTACCTGGTGGACAAGGACTTCCTGGCCCCGAAGGCCGCCGCCGACGCCCCGCCGGCGCTCAAGCACAGCATGCTCTTCTCGCCCACCGAGAAGGGCGAGAGCATGATGCACATCTACCTGGACAACTTTGAGGCCTGGAACGCTTCCGACGGCGTCACCGCCGTCACCGGCATCGAGTTCGGCATCAAGCACAGCTTGTTCCAGGACTACCTGCTGATGGATACCGTGTATCCCGCCATCGCCGTGCTCATCGTCCTCCTGGTCATGTGCGTCTACACCAGGTCCATGTTCATCACCCTGATGACGATGTTTGCCATCATCAGCTCCCTGATCGTGTCCTACTTCCTCTACCGCGTGGTGTTCAACTTCGAGTTCTTCCCCTTCATGAACCTCACCGCGCTCATTATCCTGGTTGGGATCGGGGCGGACGACGCGTTCGTGCTGTGCGACGTGTGGAACCACACCAAGTTCGACAAGCCTCACGCGGACACCTCGGAAACGGTGAGCATCGCCTTGCAGCACGCGGCCCTCTCCATGTTCGTCACCAGCTTCACCACCGCGGCCGCCTTCTACGCCAACTACGTGAGCAACATCACAGCCATCAGGTGCTTCGGGGTGTACGCGGGGACGGCCATCCTGGTCAACTACGTCCTGATGGTGACGTGGCTGCCAGCCGTCGTCGTGCTGCACGAGCGGTACCTCCTCAATATCTTCACCTGCTTCCGGAAGCCCCAGCAGCCCGCCTACGACGGCAAAAGCTGCTGGACGGTGGCTTGCCAGAAGTGCCACAAAGTGCTGTTCGCCGTTTCCGAGGCGTCTCGCATTTTTTTTGAGAAAGTGTTGCCGTGCATTGTCATTAAGTTCCGCTACCTGTGGCTGTTCTGGTTCCTCGCCCTCACGGTCGGCGGGGCCTACATCGTGTGCGTCAATCCGAAGATGAAACTGCCCTCGCTGGAGTTGTCCGAGTTCCAGGTGTTCAGGGCCTCGCACCCTTTCGAGCGTTACGACGCCGAGTACAAAAAGCTGTTCATGTTCGAACGGGTTCACCACGGGGAGGAGCTCCACATGCCCATCACGGTGATCTGGGGCGTGGCCCCGGAAGACAACGGCGACCCACTGAACCCCAAGAGCAAAGGGAAGCTGACGTTAGACAGCAGTTTCAACATCGCCAGCCCAGCGTCCCAGCTCTGGATTCTGCACTTCTGTCAGAAACTGAGAAATCAGACGTTCTTCTACCAGACCGACGAGCAGGACTTCACCAGCTGCTTCATCGAGACGTTCAAGCGCTGGATGGAGAACCAGGACTGTGACGAGCCGGCCCTGTACCCGTGCTGCAGCCGTTGGAGCTTCCCGTATAAGCAAGAGATTTTCGAGCTGTGCATCAAGAGGGCCATCATGGAGCTGGAAAGGAGTACGGGGTACCACTTGGACAGCAAAACCCCAGGGCCACGGTTTGATATCAACGATACGATCAGGGCCGTGGTCCTCGAGTTCCAAAGCACCTACCTCTTCACTCTGGCCTATGAGAAGATGCACCAGTTTTACAAAGAGGTGGACTCCTGGGTTTCCAGTGAGCTGAGCTCGGCCCCCGAGGGCCTCAGCAACGGCTGGTTTGTCAGCAACCTGGAGTTCTACGACCTCCAGGACAGCCTCTCCGACGGCACCCTCGTGGCCATGGGGCTGTCCGTGGCTGTCGCGTTCAGCGTGATGCTGCTTACGACGTGGAACGTCATCATAAGCCTGTACGCCATCGTTTCCATAGCTGGCACTATATTTGTCACCGTGGGTTCTCTGGTCCTGCTGGGCTGGGAGCTGAATGTTCTGGAGTCTGTCACCATTTCGGTCGCGGTTGGCCTGTCCGTAGACTTCGCCGTCCATTACGGGGTTGCTTACCGCTTGGCCCCGGACGCCGACCGAGAAGGGAAGGTGATCTTCTCCCTGAGTCGCATGGGCTCTGCAATTGCCATGGCCGCCCTGACCACCTTTGTGGCCGGCGCCATGATGATGCCGTCCACGGTGCTGGCCTACACCCAGCTGGGCACCTTTATGATGCTCATCATGTGTATCAGCTGGGCTTTTGCCACCTTCTTTTTCCAGTGCATGTGCCGCTGCCTTGGGCCACAGGGCACCTGTGGTCAGATTCCTTTACCTAAAAAACTCCAGTGCAGTGCCTTCTCCCATGCTTTGTCTACAAGTCCCAGTGACAAGGGACAAAGCAAAACACATACCCTGAATAGTTACCATGTAGACCCCAGGGGCCAGAAACCCGAAATGGAGAATGAGTTTTATGAATTAGAGCCTCTGGCTTCTCACAGCTGTACTGCCTCCGAGAAGACTGCTTACGAGGAGACCCACATCTGCTCTGAATTTTTCAGCAGCCAGGCAAAGAATGTCGTGCTGCCTGCGCCTGCAGCTTACAACAGTGAGCTCCACAAAAGCGCCCAAAGTGACTCGAGCTCCGCCTTGCTGCAGCCCTCTCTTGAACAGCACACCATGTGTCACTTCTTCTCTCTGAATCAGAGATGTAGCTGCCCAGATGCCTACGCACATTTGAAATACGGCCCACACTCTTGCCAGCAGATGGGCGACTGCTTGTGCCACCAATGTGCCCCTACTGCCAGCAGCTTCGTGCATGTCCAAAATGGCATGGCACCTGTGAAGGCGGCACGCCCGGCCCCCGAGGGCTTCGTGCACCCCGTGCCGCACATTCACCGCTGCCCCTGCCTGCAGGGCAGAGTGAGACCCCCTGGGATGCAGAATTCTCTGCCCACGAGTTTTTTCCTCCACCCAGTGCAGCCTATCCAGGCCCAAGAAAAAACGGGTAAGACCAGCGTACTCAGTCTTCAGAGCACAGAAGATTACCTTCCAAAGATGGCAGAGCCCTCATCATTTGTGTGCCGAAGCACCGGGTCTTTATGCAAAGCATGCTGCCATCCTGAGAATGACCAAAGGGGACCCTATAAAAATAGAGATGTCAGGAATATGGAGGGCAGTGGAGGGGCTGAAAACCAGGACTCCAGTTCTGTCACTCAGACCGATGGGGCAGAAAGGGATGCTGAGCCCAGCTTGTCCCAGACTGATGTCATTGTGAACGCAGAACGTTTGAATCAGAATGAACCAAAATTTATATTGAACCATTTAATGGGGGAGGCTGGTTATGGGTCCTGCCCCAACAATCCACAGAGTTGTAGCAGAATTGTGCGAGTGAGGTGTAGTTCTGTGGACTGTCAAATGCCAAACGTTGAAGCCAATGTGCCTGCTGTCTTAACACACTCAGAACTTTCCGGTGAAAGTTTGTTAATAAAAACACTTTAATAAATATAGTATTAAATTCAGACCCAGTGCCTCAGTTGTTCCTTTGAAATGGAAGTGAAATCCGGAAGTTTAGACAGCCCAAAAACACAGGGATAAGAATGATTCACTTGGTTCAAAATCATGGAATATTTTTATATTCCACACGAACAATCAACAAATTCATATCTAATGAGTGTTGACTGATGGCTGGATTTTATGTTTTCGAAAATATAGTTGTTTTTTTACATTTATACCCAGCTTGAAAAATAATTGTCTCTCTCTTTCTCCTCCCCTCTCATAGAAGCGAGTCAGAGATTTAGCGTTTGAATGACCTAGAAGTTTCAGATGTCTCTGGCAATGATATTTACCTGATATCCTTATTCTGGTGCATTTGGTTCTCAGTAATTAAGACATTTGATCATGCAACATACATATGGATTTTAGCAGTGTCACTTCAGTTGAGGTCCAGGAACTAAACAACATGAAAATTTATATTTTGGGTGAGGCCTCATTTAAAAACTAGTTGCCAAGCATAGGTGGGACGTAGTCATACGTCCCATCTGTCTGCATGAGTAGACTTTACATGAAGCCACTGACAACGTTTATATCCAAATCAGTGTCTTTTTGTACATTCACCAACGAGTCACCAGCATTATCTTGTGTCAGGTGACAGTTATGTTAGTGCCACAGAAGGATGAGAACAAAGGAAGAGACGTGATCCCCTGAAATAGCACTACACTTCTTAGGATAAGTTGCATGTTGACAAAGGTAGACCCCAGGTCAGGGGATTCCTAGCCCTTTGAAACACTTGGAGTAAGGGAACTGGTTCTATGAAGTTTGCTCGTGTCTCTGCCCCCAAACGGACATGTTCAGACAGCTGCTTTCTCCCGTATTAGTGTCTCAAGATGTGCACGGATGATTTGATTATACAGCCAACACCTGGAAATGCTAAGCCGTCAGGCGGCATCTTAAATGACACTTGTGTATCTTGTGTTAGATCAGTCTACAGTAGTTGAGCTGTTGGAGCATGCTTTCTGGGTAATATTTCAGATGACACAGCCTGCCTTCACAGGGTGTCATCTGATACTGACTGTGCATTCCTGCCCTATCTGGGGAGCCCTCCCCCGGCAAATGCTTCCTCAAGGAGTCTGCCTCCAGTTGAGTCCTCTGAAGAAAACTAGTGGAGATATTTCTAAATACTATGTTCTTTCCAAAAGTTATATGCGCTATTTTCTAAGACTAGTTTTCCAAATTCAATCTGCATAGTCTTCAGGGCCTGAAAAAAAGCTTTCAAGAGTTGGAAGGGATCTCATGGCTCATTGAAGCCAACCCACCGCCACCAAACCACATTTCTAAGTAGCTTCCCAGCTTTCGCTTGACCACTTCAGTGACAGGGAACTCACTACATGACCTCCTTGGTTGCGCCCAAATCTGTTGTCCTGTCGTTTTTCTACCCTTTTGGTCGTCATTCTGCTCTATGAAGTGAAAACAAACGCCTCTGATCTCTTTGCCACATGGCATCCTGAAAGAGACTTGAAATCAGTAATCGTGCCCTGCCACTAACGTCCCCAGGTCACTCCACTGTTTTTCCCAGGCCTGGGTTTTAAGCAGTTCAAACCCTGATTAGGAAGTTATGGTCTCTGGGTAAGTAAGGTTGTTGAACTTTCTGCCCAAGTGTAGACCCCAAAACAGACTGACGTGGCGCAGGAAGGAGGATCAGCCCCAAGGAGACTGGATGGTACTCCTGTGAGTTCACTTGGAGATGGACGTCACTGTGGGCTCAAGCACCGCAGCTGACTGTCGTGTAGCTTGGAGGAAACGACACCCGCCAGGTCTCTCTCACATGTGCTGCTAAGCTGCTGTTGCAAAGCAGTTTCTTACACTTATGTCCATTGCCATTGCTCTTAATGCTGTTAGATATCTCTGAGAAATCGGGGAGGAGACGGGAACACTTGGAAATAGGATTCACAATCCCAACACTAGATTGCGGGTTTTTCTTATGAAATATGTAACCGTAAAGTTGGCTAGTGAAAATTGAGTGACACAAATGCACTTTTCTTTTTTTCATCTTACTTTTTTTTTTTTTTTGCTGGCATGAACACAGATTGAACTTAAGGGTGATAGGAGAAGGAAGCTTTTTACAGATAGTCCAACCTGAAAGACTTCCACATGAGCCAAGTGTTAAAATAAAAATTTAGAAAGTAATCACACTGAACCTTGAATGTAGCAGGAACCTTTTCCCATTGATTTCATCTAGACTTTGGACTTTGAATATTTTTCATGCAGGAATTTTTTAAAAAGAACGTATTAGCTAGGACTAGAAAGCTTTTTTTTTTAATTCTTTATTACTAGGCAGCAAAATATCATCACTATTTCTAGTTTTGTTTCACAAAGAAATTTCACCCATTGGCCTTTTCTAGAGAATTGCAAAGCAGATAAGGGGCTAAATTACACTGAAGAGGAAAGAGCCCTTTCACTGCGAAATATTTGTAACTTGGAGGGTCTTGGCTTATGGGAAGTATTTGCAGACTGTCACTACAACGGTACACCTTTGAGGTTTGTTCCTGACTTCTTCCCTGCTAGGTCACTTTTTAAATCCCTACTTGATTGAAGAGTGGAATGGGCCAAGAGTGCAAAGTTTTTCACAGAGAAGAGCTGTCTTGTTTGAAATAACTACACAGCTTCCTCTGTGTGTGTGTTCATTTCTTGCATGTAATTGCTGTAAAATGCACATCTTCCCCAAACAATATTCTTTAAAGCTATGCTAAGCTCTTATATTAAATTTTATTATAGTAACCTATGTCCCAGTCTTAATCATTTAAAATTTGGAAACTTTTTCAGTGGGTAATATGAAGAATAGTTTTACAAATGTGGTCTTCCAGAAGATTAAGAAAGGTTCCTGATTTGCATTGTTTCACATGGAAGCCATCTTTCCACCAGGAGTTAGGACAGTTTCTGAATGAAATATGAGGAAATAAGCACTGAAAACAGCTGTGTCTTTTCTCTTTAAAGAGGAGGGTCATTCTAGAAGAAAAAAAAGTCTATGTTAAAAACAATTCAAAGACTCAATTGGGTTTTTTGTCATAAGATGCAGACACAGCCATGAAAGTTGAAATTTGTTGAAATCACGAGGGGATTTTTTTTTTTTTTAACGCAGAAGGAACCACCATGTTCAAATACCCTTTACACCACAGTGAATTTTTTCCAAAATGTTTGCTGGCATTTAGTTTGTTTATCTCCAATTGTTGTTATACTAATATCTACAGTGTTTTTTGTAACATAGCGTTCATTAATTTTTTATTTTGTGTACTAAGAGGTTCCATATCTTTACATTAAATATATAGGGAAAAAGAATGAATAATTATAGTAGACTAGTAGTAGAATCTTGTGCCTTTTGTTCTTAACAGTGTTTTTGACTGCCCTAACTTTGGATTTTTCGTGAAAAAAAAAAAGGAGTAATTTTTCATTATCTGTAGAAACCACAGGGTGTAGAAACCACACAAAGAACAACTCACGAAGGAACCAGGATATCCCGGACCCCATGACTGTCATAGTGAAACAGGAATTACACTTCATGTTCTCAAATCAACTGGACTAGCTAAACTTTGGCATTTCCCCTTCTACTCATATTGTTTCCACATAATTTTCTGTAATGTAATCTACATCTTCCTAAAAAATGAAGGGAGCAGATTATTTTCAGCAAGATATTTTTTTTGAAACCGTTAAGATTCTTATAAGATTTCTTTTTAATATTCTTATAAAACCATACTTATAGTTTCAATTTGCAACAAAGTGACAGTAAAATTTGCTCAACCTCTATCCACTAATTGGACATTTTTGATCAGTAGACTGAAGCTCTCCACTCTTTAAAGGAGAAAGCATTTGCTGAGTAAATCAATAAACGAGGTTGCAAAGAGCCCATGTGCCTGCCTAAGAAAACAAACCCCTGGAGTTTAAAAAACTAAAGTCGTTTTTGCAACATAAATATGATCATTGCAAACATCACTGATAAAAGTCCAGCAGGATTACCTAGGAAAATCTTTACCAGATGTTTAAATACGAGTTGAGAATAAAAAATAATAATAATAATTAAAAGAAGAATCTATTATTAGTTTTAAACGTGATCTTCGTTGGATGTTCTGCACTCCCACGAGGGCCATTTTTCTACCTTGGGAAGCTCTCTGGTCTGCAGGGTCACTTCCGGTTCTCAATTCTGGCAGCTGTCAAGTGCTTCATTCAATGCAGCCTTAAAGGATGGGGTATGTAAAGCCACCAGCTTTATCCTCCCTCCAGCAAAGTTTCTTTTCGTGCAGAGATCTGAAGAAAGACTTTGGGAAACATGGAAATCTCTGACAACATCCTCTGTCAGGTTGAAGTTCACCAGTGTTTGCTCTTTTCTATAGTTTGATCTCTTTACCTTCAGTTTTCTGGACAGCATCTGTGCTGTTAGTTGTATATTATCAGATGGGAATAGATATAGACTAAGTAATCTTGGATTGTTGAATAATTCTATTGCAGATCCCAACTTGAATTTTTTTGCCCTACCCTGAAAAGGTCCCTGGAAAGAACCCTGGGCTCTGATTGGCAGATAAAGGGGAATTTCCTTCAGTGAATGACTTCCCTGCCAATCATGGCAAATTATACAGCCCTTTGGTAAACATCTACGTGTTACCATCAGGGATTAAGGAGAGGTTAGAAAAGCCAACTCTGAGACAAAGCTTAATCCTTCCCCTAAATCCTCTAAATCATTCAGAAAACCAACAGGCATAGATCCTGCCCCAGAAACAAAAACCGTGATTTTTCTCATCTGTGGGTGAATTGTTACAAACCACGTGGGGGTAGAGGAACTCATCTTGAGAGGAGGAAGGTTTTTCATATTTTCTGGGTTTCGATGTCATATTTGGGTCTTGGGAAAGTCAGGCTGATGAGTCTTTTTGAGCAGTTTGGGCTATCCTGAAGGGAACTACAAGTCATGTCACGTGCTTGAACTCCACAACTCATAGAAGGGAGCCACTCCTACACAAGGTTCCCAGTCAGCACCCG